GCGACAACAGTAGTAGTGGTAGTGGGTAATAATAATGGTATTGTTTTTTTTTTTTTTTTTCTTGTCTCAATCGACCGGGTCCGAATCCCGACGAAAACGCCGAAATCGGGGAAAGACGCGCGCGCGGACAACGGCACGCCGCACCTGCGCGTCTTTCGCCCGCAGATCCGCCGCGGCGGATTCGCCTCCCCGCCGCCGGCACACCGCCGTCCCATCCCGCCCCGCGGCCACCGACCAAACGATAAACGTTTATGGGTGCCGACCAAACCGTCAATTATCAACGTTTTGTTTTTTCGGTTGTTTTTTTTTTTTTTTTATGATAAAATTTCGTGCGGTTTTTTTCGCCGCGGTATGCGCGCAACGCTCGCCCCTTCCAGGTACCCGGCGGGGAGGGGGGAAAGGGGGAATGAAAAGTACAAAAAAATACGCGGCATCAATGTCGCGTCCCGCACGGCAGACAGACGGCATTCAATATTTCGTGTCCGCCGCCGCCGCCGTCTCTTTAGGAAAAAAAAAAAATAATAATAATAAAAATAAATACGCGTGTACCAAAACGTACCCGTTTATAACGACGCGGCCGTCTATAACCGCGTACTGCGGTGCATACGTACCTAGTGGGTATACGGTATAGTTTTGAAGAAGACGAGGAAGACCGATGGAAAGAAGAGAAAAAAAAAAAAAAACAACACGTTGTTTGTCTATAAGGTGGCAGAACGCGGTTCTACGCGTGTACCGACGCCGCCGCAGCCGCCGCGACGGAGTCCGAATCCGTGAAGGAACGTGTGCGCAGAGGGGCCGCTTGCGCGCCGGGGGTTACGGCTCTCTCCGTAGTGGTAACCCGTGTAACGAGCGTCGGAAAAATCCAACGTTCGACGATTTGTACCCGTTCGGCTCATTTGTCCGTCCAGCGTTTATAATATACACGCGCGCGTGTATAATAATAATATTATACAATAGTGTATGTGCGCACCATACGCACGCGTTATATGGGCACCTCGTAACGTCCCGGGATATTATAATCGGCATCGGATAAACGTACGCGTATTATGTACCCATTATTATCACCATTATCGTTATTATCGTTGTTATCGTTATTATCGTTATTATTGTTATTGTTATATACGTATCGTAACGTATGTACCGTGTATTACGTTACGCGCGCGTACAATATTATTGTTGTTGTTGTTCGGAAATCGCGCGCGTACGGAAATGCGTATTCGTACGCCGCGATTCGCACCCCCGCAGGCCGCGGCCGAACATTGATAGTTTTCAGAAAACGGCGCCGGTACGACGTTCACGATTATTCGACATTATGTGACTGTATTGCGTACCCACAAGAAATGGGCACACGCTAATCGGCTTTTAAAACGGCCGCGTGCTATGCGTCTAAAAATGGTAAAATTGAGAAACGCGCTATTAGAACTAGATAAAAAAAAATCGTCCTAGGTTAATGCGGACGGGTGCAGCTACTGTTGTAGTTGGAAAGTTGGGAAGGTATTGGATACTGCAGCAGACGCGAATTCAATGTATATTATCTGTAATCAACGATTAACCATTGCTAACGAAAAAACGATTCTGAACGGAGTTCAGTAGATAGTGTACAGCTTTGTCAACGATATATATTATATTATGGTAAAATAATGAAATAGGCATTATATATTTTCTTTAATAATATTTGTTTAATATTGTACCGATTTTCCCATTTTTCCTACGTTTTTGCTATTCTGGGAAAACATAGAAATAACGGAAAAATGCACGAACATAATTCTGTTCTTATTTAAAATTTTGCTTTTTTTTAATGTAATTTAGTTTAAAATATTTGTAGAAACTTAACATGTCGACAGAAAACTCATATTTACTTTTTTTAGGCGTGGTAAAACGTATTACTATTATTATATAATATTTGAGCTTTTTACAGACATTTCAATTTTGCGAGTTTTTTACGTACATTGTAATTGATAGGCAACCTTGGATTGGCAACCTAACCTTGGATAGTGATGTTCCTAAATTCATCTACTATGTAGCAGATTGTTCAGCAGATTGATAGGAATTTAGGAATGCCTTTTTGTTAATACGCTTGAACAAGTTGCTTAATACACAAAATAGATTTTATCTATACTGTGGTTAAATCTTGTAATCAAAATTATTGTCTTATCTACTATTTACTTTTGGCACGACAAATCCATCTGGTTTTATAATCAAACAGCCAAAAAATAGTGGATCGGTGATAAGAGAATCCGATTGACTACCTCCCTTCTAGTGGATTTGCTATCTGCTGAAACTAGAAACAATAAAATCCAGCGGCTGACCAATCTGATGAATTTAGTAGCATACGGTTTGTAGATATAAATTATTAGAGTTAACAGAAATGCTTGAAAATTTGATAGGAGGTTCTTTATAAGTCATACTTATAGTGGTCAAAAAAAAAAATTTAGTTTAATGTGGTATTTTTTTTATACGAATTTTTTAATCAAATTTTGACAAAAATCGTAAATAAAGCGGCCTTTCAAAACATGTATAACCGAACTTTGCTTCGAATCGTTTTTCGACATCAATGGTTTATCGTTGGTTACAGGTATAAATTAAAAAACTTTATGTATCCCATCTTCCTCACTACTCACCTACAATAGTGACCGCACCCATCTCCAGTATCAACTATTTTTTTTTTTTTTTGTAAATAACTGATTTTTCAAAATTTGGTGATTAAACACTTTTTTCACGCGCAACCGCGAAATAATACATGTACGTAGATATAATTGAAAAACGGTTAAACATAAAAAAAGGTATCGACAAAATTATTTACATCGCGCCAAAAACGGAGACTGTTTGAACTTAATAACGTAAAATGGAAAAAAAACCCGTATATAACTGATTTCAATTTATTTTTTTTTTTTTTTGGAACCATACATATCAGTTATAAACTGAAATGAAATTTATAACTTTATTTATTTGAAATTTTAATATTTCTTTTTTTTTTATTCGTGAGATAAATCAATAATGCTAATGAAA